GTCATATATCCGTACATTGGACGAGCTGGTGTTTACTAGTAGTTACTTTATGCTCAAAAGTCGCGCAATTGTCAGGAAAAATAATTTTATTTTACATGACTGACATAATGATGGCTCAAAACTTAGGGCAATAATTTCCATTGATATAAATATCATAAAAATGAGCTTAGCGCGAGCATGTTAAATAATCGTATTAAAGAAATCTATCCACACCAGGTTACAAACGCCACTTAGATAAATAAAGACTACCTGGCAAAATAGGTAGACAACCAGGCAAAGATCGCGTAGCGAACTAAAGAGCCGTGTGATGCATATTTCTTCACACATTGTGTTCGCACAATTCACTTGAATCCTCATTGAGGCCAGAGCAGGAACGGGAACGCAATTTTGCCTGCATGCCCTTAGGGACTTGTCTATTTGGCCTCTTATAATTTTGCAACCCAACCCTGCGATTGTACACATGATGCAAGGCCTCTTGGCCAAGCCTGTATTGCATAATTCTATTTTGCATCCTTTCTAATTCACTGGAAGTAAATATAGAAGGTAGAAGTCCCATGGATTGGCAGCATTCACAATGGCAATGGTAGGGTTCACAGCATACATTACTATTGTGCATATCCAGTTGCATTTTCTGCATCGGCTCACAGAGTGGTTCCACAGAAAGTGGTCGAGCTTGAGTGCTATTTCTGCCTTGACACTTTCTTGGCTCTCTGGACCGTTCCTTAGATCGTGAACGTCCATCGGGTCTTCTTGGCGACATGGCCGGTGGACTGGAGTACCTTGTGTCAACCGTTTTTGCTCGTCTTCGACGAGGTGTTGCTTTCATTTCTCCAGCACGGCAGGTCATCTCAGTGACACTGCGGACAAAGTCAAGTCCCACCTTCAAATTAGGCGCGAAGAAAACAAGAAGGTCCACGGCATTTTCCTCTCCAAATCCTCGTCGAATAGCAATTACTACAAGTGGTGGACGTGGAAATCGGCGGTATTTTAAGAGCCACGCGCTCAGCTGAGCATCCAGTTCGTGGAGATTTGACTCAGGAATGGTGTAACGTGCATCGGAGGCTCTACGCAGATAGCCGTAGCACAGATTCGAATGCCTTCGTGCGGCTGACTGAACCACTTCAAAGCAAAGACAGTCGCAAAGGACAATGCGCTCAGCTTTATATACATCCCTTTCATTGATCAGAGTCCCCTTTGTGTCAAAGCTGCGATAGCGCCAACTGCGAACACTGAGACGGTCATCCTCGAGAGAGACCAAACGCGATTCAATGGGATTTTGTATATCAAGTTTGCTAAATGGGATCCGATTTTCGAGGGCGTATTTTAGATAGGCGATGTAGTATTCAACGAGTTGGTGGTGAACAGCATCGCTGTTGGAACACCCAAAATTGTGGGCAGTAAAGCGCCCTAAATAGGTGAGAGCAAAGGTCTTGTCTGATTCCATCAAGCACGTAAAATGGGGCAGTATGCAAGTATGTACGTGTGTGTACATGAGTCGTGTCATGGCAATAATTTGCATAGCGATCGCACGTGTTCGATGGCCAAATGACATATGGTAATTTTAGAGCAAGGGTTTCCTTATGCATCCCATGCATTTTTGCCATTGTTTAATATAAATATAAACTGGGTAAAGGTGTTCTTCAGCCTGTATTGATACATGCGATTAAATTTGCAATCGTGATTTGTTTAACCTGCCCTTGTCAGCCATGCAAGAAATTCGAATTAGTTACTACTCGAACCTCAGATGGAATGTTTCAGGTTAAAGATACCATTATCAACTGCTTCATAAACGGCCGTCCCCTTGTCTTCATTGGTCTTCCCTGGTGCATGAAAGGAGAAACAGGATATTGTCCGAAAAATGGCCAAATTATCTTAAAACACGATGTAAAATCGTATGGTAATAATAATAAGAGGTCA